AGCACAGTTGAAATGGTCGAATACCTGAATAGCGTAAACAGTGGAATAAACATGGATAATTCTGTAGTGAAGGATGACATCAACACGCTGAGGAAGATGCCTGAATTCACGTTCAAGGAGCTCAACCTGACCAGAAACCTGACTCCCAGCAACTCTCACGCCCACGTCTACAAGAAGTTTGAGAATGCGTCGAATAATTCTGAGGACGAAAGACAGCCGAATGGGTTCACTGCCTACGTCAGCGAGCCAAGGGTCGCGGGTTCAACTCCCCCGAATGCCAATAATTTGTTCTTCAATAACCCAGTCCACGATAAGAAGGATAAAAAGTGAATTATTCTCCTATTCACCAGTTCAAATGAAATGGTGCTATTAAGGGGATGGACGTATCGAGTGAAGCAAATGGAAATGGAATTGGAGACATCTCGGCTGAGGAGAACATCGAGGTCGAAGGCGACTTCTTCCTGAAGAAGAGCGTGGACTACGTCGAAGACCAGTGGATTGGGAAGTACCGAATGGAGAAGACGCTTGGAAAGGGGTCGTCTGCGAAGGTGGTTGAGGCCGTGGACTAGGAGACTGGTGAAACAGTGGCCATAAAAATAATCGACCGAAAGGCAAAGAACATCTCCGATAAGCGCGTCTTCAGGGAGGTGCTGATCTGCTCCCTGGTGAGCCACCCTCACGTTGCCAGACTGCTTGACTTCTTCTTTACTGGAAAATACTTCTTTCTGGTGTTCGAACACGTGAGTGGGGAGCAGCTCTATAACACGGTGCTACAAAATGGGCCAATTGGGGAAGAACGAGTCAGAAGGTATTTCAGGCAGATTCTTTCAGCAGTCGACTACCTTCACAAGAATGCGGTGGTGCACCGTGATCTGAAGATTGAGAACATCATGATCGACAAGGACGACAACGTGAAGCTGATTGATTTTGGGCTGAGCAACTTCTACGAAAAAGAGGATCAGTTGAGCACATTCTGTGGATCACTCTACTTCGCAGCACCAGAGCTGCTTCAGGGAAACAGGTACGTTGGGCCAGAAGTCGACGTGTGGTCTCTAGGCGTCGTTCTCTACGTGATGCTTTGTGGGAGAGTTCCATTTGATGACGAATCAATTCACAAATTACAGGGCAAAATCAAGGAGTGCAAATTCACGTTTCACAAGAAGGTGTCTGAGGACGCCCACGATCTGATAATGAAAATGGTGGTGGCATCTGAGGGACGAATTGGACTGGAAGCAGTGAAGGGCAACAGATGGGTCAATTTGGGATACGAGGGTGGAATAAACAACTACATGTTGGGGCGGAGTCTGAGGAGCGAGTTGGATTCAACCGTGGTGAATGCGATTGTCGCTGCTGCCGGATTCCAATTTGCAACTGCAAGAGAGGAATTGGGTCGATACGCCGAATTAAGCTTAAAATGCAGGAACTCACTCGAATTGGCGTATTGGGCCAATAAGCCAGTGGTTGCGATGTACTTTCTGGCAGTGGAGAAGCTCAGCACGGCCTATTCCACCACAAGCAGCACGGCCGGGGCAAGTGGACGGCTCAGGCGCGTCTCAGTGAGCAACCACCCATCCATTATGCACAATTTCGTCCGATTTGTGAATGCTGGCGACTACAACAGCCCGTACAAGGAGTTCTTCTCAGACGTCTCATTCAGGCCGAGTCTCGAGATGATGCAGACGTACGAGAACAGCTCGGAGACGCAGACGACCGAGGCAGCGAAGCCAGCAGTGAAGAAGTCGTACGTCAAGGGTGTCCTAAAGGGCATTAAGCTTAAAAACATTTCAGAAGAGGAAGCAAGGGGTGAGATAACCAGGATTCTGAACGAGAACAGCATCGTCTACGAGACCAGCGATACCTCCTACTTCTGCAGCTACGTCCACAACGAGACAGAATGCTACTTCAAAATCAAGCTCTACTTCAACGTCCTGGTCTCAGACCACTACGTGGTGATGAGCTGCCTGAACAAGAACAAGGAGGCGTTCAAGGTGGTCTACGAGCTAATCAAGCGCAGAATCGAGCAGCCTGGGCCGATCTAGGCAGTAAATTAGTCAAAGAGTGCGATAATTTTATCACTCTTTTTCTACCCCTGGTTTACTCCCGTCAGTTTCATAACCAGGTGGTTCATGCACCAGGCACATTTTAAGCTCCTTTTCCTCTAAGAAGACTCATAATAAACTGTTTCATCTTGTTTTAAATTTGCGGAAGTAGAGAGGCCATGCAAATATTGCTATTACTCTCTGTTATCCACTGTAACAAGTTCAGCGTGACAGATGATGAACAGATGAGCGAGTTCATCAACTTCCTGCGCATCAACTCTGGAATGGAGCCACTGGAGGAGCATCCTGCCCTGGTGGCCGTGGCCAAGGAGCACGTGCGAAGCATGTGCCGTGGCGGGAAGCTGACTCACGCCTCACGGAATCTGACGAGCCTAATTCGACGAATTGGTCGAAAGGGCCTTCATATTGAGAGGGCAGCTGAGAACATTGCTAAACAGTACAGTTATACCAAGTCAAACATGCAGGAGTACACTGAGGTAGCCAAGAAGTGGTTTAGGTCGACAGAGCATAGGAGAATCATGCTTGGGCCATTTAACTACACTGGTGTAGCAAGTTGTGACACAGGCAATGAGAAGTATTGGGTTCAGGTATTTGCTAAGGAGGAAGAAATGAGGCAGCCTGATAAGACAGTGCGTGACAGTGGTGATCTGTCGTATGGGATCATTGATCCAGCACGTAGTCCATGTACTCTGATCACAGAATGTGATGTTGGTGAAATGGTTAGGCCATCAACTTTCAGTCAAATTGATCAGGGGATACGAACGAAGACTGTTACGGT